TTTTAACTAGAACTTAATTATTAAATTAAGTTACTGAATATCCCGCATTATTGTAGCTTGATATTTAAAAAGTAGTTTCTAATAAAAGCTAAATAGTATATATATATACATATGAGCAAAAGAAATACAACATTATATAAAAATCTATGATACATCATGTATAAACTTAAAGCTAACATGAAGATCTCTGAATAAAATCCTGGTTCTAATATGTGACTTCGACCAACAAATATATTACAACATAAACTTTTATCTTTTATATTCCCTCATTTTACAATAATGAAGAAATGACGTATCCAATCAACGGTTAAAGCGATCCTGCAGGTGCTGTCATTTAAATCAGTGTTTTCTCTATAAAGTACTAAAACAAACTAAGAAGTTTCTTAGTGCAGCCCAAAAATTTATTTACATGTTGCACGATTGTTTTCTTCTTTTTTAAATATAAATATCATAATTCAATATATTACTTACGCTAATGACAAATATATTTTGTGTTTACAAAAGTAGTTGGTACTTAAAACAATAAAATAAAACTGAGCTAGATACTCATCGTACCTTGTCTAAGTATATGACTTCGTAACATTCATATTATTATTTTTTTTTTTTACGCGGCAATTAAGTAGCTTTGCTACGTGTACTTTTACTTAGTAATGTTTCATCAGTTAAATGTAATCACAATTGTTATTCATTAACCTTGACATTTGGAGTCTTCTTCTAGCCGTCCAAGCTGATCCCTTTCTAGATCTTGTGGTAAAGAATCTGTAGAAAAATATTAAAATTGGCATAAGTAAATTTCAAACATTCAAGGTTTGAAGCAGGCTACATACAAACGTAGTCCTCTCCCCCCACAAAACTAAACAAACAAACAACAAAAAAAAAAAACGTACACTTACGTGGCTTCTTATACAATGTCTCGTGGTTTTCTAGCTGCCCATGTTGAGTTTTATAAAATTAACTTAAGGTGTACTATCTTCTCGTTTCATTTAATTTCTGATTTTGATTATTTAGGTTTAAAAATTTGTTAAATTCGAGCTTCTGCTAGGCTAGAAATGGTGAATTTTGTCCTTTTGTAATAACCAACTAAAATATTTATCATTGTAAAAAACTTTGGGTATTTTTAATCATCACTAATTATAATAAAAATCTTTGATATCAACTTACGAATCATATCCAGAAATCTGAGACATGCAACGTCATAGTACGCCATGTATGATAACAGCGACCCTGGTGGTGAAAAATTTACATTCAGGATTAAGTCGAGTGCAAACAGTAAAATACAATTCACAGTGAAAAGTAAAAGTATTTCCACTCCTCGCCATTTTGTAATTTGAAGTACAAAAAAATGTATTTCAATTATTGAATACTTTTCGAACTGAGTTCATGTTGTAATAGAATTTCTGATGTGTATCAGAACGTAAACAAAGCAAATGTAAATTTGTTTTATTTAAAAAAAAACTGCCATCTAGATACAAAAGCAATTTAAGCATTTCAGTAATAATATTTTTCAACTTTTAAATCTAAAATTATAAATTCATTCGTTTGCACTCGACATCTATGTTTAGTTTTACGAGATGCCTTTCAGTGTCTTAAAGTATACCCGAATGATTTGTTTGTAGTTAAGCACAAAGCTACACGATGGGCTATTTGTGCTGTGCCCACCACAGATATCGAAACCCTGTTTCTAGCGTTATAAGTTCGTTGACTTACTGCTGTGCCACTAGGGGGCATACTCGAACGAGCATGTCTCATATTTCATGAATTACATTTTAATTTGAAAGTAATTAATATTTAATAATTTCATTATTATTAGATAACATATGTCTAAGCTCAGCTCAGATGAAATGGCTCTTCACGTCAATACCCTAGTGTGTGATATAGGTAAAGTGGTGTATATTTTTTTAAACGTACACCTTTGTACTCTTTCATAGATAAAGAGACTTTGGGGCTACCTAGCTTTGTAGTTACATTTCCATTTGAATGTTTCTGCTTGAGGAGGTAAAGACTGAAACACGTAATATTTCCTAAGTTTTGATAACAGTGAAAGAGTACAAAGGAGTGGAATAAAAAAAATCAATTTTGTCACCTACTGTCACATCAAATTTATTTGGATAATATTTTATATGATTGATAAAGCTAACCTGAATGTGTATAGCTTGAAACTACGAAACACAGCTACTCAAGATAAGGAATTTTCATAGTTATTAATATGTATGCTTAGTATTTCAATCTAAAACAAGGTGAACAAACTCGAATGCTACATCTAATTTCAAAGCTAGAAACCTCAAATTTCTTTCTCTATGAAAAAGTGTTACGATGTGTGTGCGTGTGTATATTTATATGTTTGTAGGATATGTTTTTTTGTTTATAATTTTATACGTTTGTATTATTGTTTTACCACAGAGTTTTAACGTCACAGGTTTTATTTGGCTTAATGACTAAAATCGTTTTGAAAGTTTAGAAAACGATCCGAGTTATATAAAAGTAAGTGAGGCTAAGCATTATTGATTTTTGGGTTTGTTAGAGAGAATGACTGGTTATTGGATTAAAGAGTTAGTCGGTTTACTGCCAACCAGTTAGTTAATTAGTTTAGTTTTATGAATAACAAGTTGGGTTTTTCGACCAAGACACGAAGATGCGAGAAATAACGAGAAAACATACGAGAAAAATTAGCAAGTTAGTGAAATTGTTGTGTTAGTGTTTACTGTGAACTTAGGCCTTTCAGTGAACATTAGTGTAGCTAACATTTAGAATAATATGTAGAATTTGAAGTTCAAGAAATTAAACGCTTTCATCGCCATTAAATAAACTAGACTTTGCATTAATTTTGCCGAATAATCCAAAAAAACTTGTCAAACAATAGAAAACGTTGCAGCAGTAAAACAAAATTTACTTCATTGCATAAGAACTATTTACTTAAGGTTAAAATTTGACATTAAGATTGCCAAGCTTTGCTAATAGACGTATTAAAGATGAATGGAACGGATTTTTTTTTTTTTATAATTAGAATATATATTTTCTAAACAGCATAAACTTACCGTTTAAAAGTTGAAGGGCTTCCTTAGAGCTACTATGAAAGTTTCCTTCATAATTGGAACGTCTCTTGACTTCCGCTTCTAGTTGTTCCTGGACTCTCCTACGGGATCGTCTTTCTCTTCTTAGTCTTTTCTGGTAGAGAACTGGAGTAGAGAATTAATATTGAAATCAAATGACAACTCAATGGTAGGCCTAATGAACAGTTGGAAAATGATAAAAACGCACGTACGATATATCACAGGCGTCAGAACCAGGGGCGTTGTAGCACCTCCCACTTTTGCATGTTTGACATATATAGGAACTGTAAGTTATATTATTGTGTTAATTGATTGAGTGCATGCCCCAGACCCCCCCTAGATTGAGATAATTTTAATCTCTCTTTGTAAAATATGCATGTCTAGCCAAGCACCCTCATCTTTGAAACTCTTTCTCGTATATATTGATTGAAGTCATGTAAAACTGATTAAAGTAAACTCGTGTTTTCAAGTTGATCCAACACTGCTCATTATTTGTCAATGAATCTGGTACCCTTCGCCAACTGCACAAACATAAAAATAAAATCTAAGTTGCTATCTATAAAGACGGAATGCTTTCATCAGTTTTGATAATATTTTACTTTGGTTGAACACTGGGCAAATTTGATCTAGCATTTATTCGAACGTAATAAACCCAATTATCTTTATTTATATGTTATCTTCGTAAAAAAACAAAGACATTTATAATCCACTAGTCTTGTTGTTAAAGAAGAAAGTTTGAAAGTTGTCGAGAGAAGAAGAAGTCCAGTATGGGTTACGAAATGTATGTGCGGGAGGGGGTGATGGGAGTAGCTAGTGTGTTTTTGAATGTGGTAGCTGAAATGTTTTAAATAAATGTATAAAGAATTTATACATTCTTTATCATTCTAAATCGTAATTAAAAAATACTAATAATACGAGAAACTTATTTTACTTGTTACGAAATTATTTTATTCTCTTTGTAGTTTTGGAATGAATGATGCAAATAATATTAGTACGTTACATTAAAAAATTAAGGCAATTTTTCTCTTAAAGGCATATTAAGGTCTACCTTTTGTTTTCTGTTCTTCAAGAATCTGTTTCTCCAGGTTCTCTCGAAGTTCTCTTTCCCGCATTACTTCCATCTTAAGCTCCGCTGAAAAAATATAAAGAGGAACTGTGGCTAAAGAAGTGATTGAAAAGCGATAGTTAACAAAGTGAAACTGAAAAAAACCTTTACTAACGAATTTCATATTCTATCTGTCACCATTAACACTTTGGAGATACGTGAAAATTGTGTATGTTCAATATACATAAAGCAAAACAAAGCATAGTGAAATGTCATCGAAAATGGAAATAATATACCAACTAGCTCAACCATGGCTAATTATTAATAAGAACTTATTGAAAACAGAGAATAATTTATAACAATATGTTATAAATTAAGTTAGTAGTGATCGACTAGAGGGAGGGCAGCTAGTCAATATCACCCTACGCCAACTAATGGGCTACTCTTTTACCAACGAATAGTGGAATTTACCGTAAAATGATAACGTCTCCACGGCGAGCATGTTCGATGAAAGGGATTCGAACCTACGACCCTCGGATTGCGAGTTGAGCACCATAACGCAATCCTCAGACTACGAGTCGAGCACCATAACGCAGTCCTCTGACTACGAGTCGAACACCATAACCACCAGACCATCATGCTAGGCCAGCAATTTACCAAACTTAAATTCGTAGTTATAACGCGACCGTATTAGAAAACTATAACAAATGGCGAATACCTTTTTCTGTATTTATTTGTCTTTCTTGTTGTCTAGCGTTGTCTGCAGCTACCTTTAGCAATCCCTGAATGTTTCTTAGCAGAGTCTCAATTGACGAAACAGTGTGTCCTACGATGGCGCCAGTGCCGCTAGACACTCCTGGAAAGAACAGTGGATTCTGGGCAGAAAGGTGGTCGGTATTGGCAGTGCTGCTAACATCAGGGGTATCACTAAAATCTGAAAAATACATTATCCAGTTAAACAACAGTTATCATGTGTAATATTCAGAGAGTAAATATCTTTATGCTTAAATCATAATAGTTAAATAACTTAATTTTAAAGCTTTTAACGAAACATCATTCATAGGCTATATTTGGATTTACGTATTTTTTTATGATGTAAAGTTCACGAGGACTTCGATATCAGAACATCTACGTTAGAAACTGGGTTGTTGTCTTCGTCTAACATATACAAACTGACAAAATTTAAGTATATTTAACATACTAAAGCAACAACAATTTACCTTGATCATTTTCGTCACCGTCGTCCTCGCTGTCTTCTTCGTCCATATGATCATTGTACACTGCGTCACTTCCACTGTTGTCCTCACATCCGCCAACATTGGTGCCATTGTGACCAACTATGCGGCTACTGTGTTGTGAGAGGTTTAATACAGGACCGTGCCCGTTTACCGTTTTCTCTAAATAAATAACAAAGTGCTTGTGTAAAATTCTCAACAGCTGAACTTTGGTGTATGCTTACTATCAAATTGTTTGTAACTTCTTAAAGCAATTGTCTTATGTATGTATTCATGAAGAACAACTGAAACTGTTTGCTAGAAGACCATTTAGTTAGTTATTTATGCTAGACATTAACATTACATAATACAAAACAGAGATAAGATTCTTATATATAATTCTCTTAGCTAAAGCCAAACAAATGTTACACCATTCATCTGTAGCAAATACAAAATAGTTTATTGCATAGTTTATTTTAAGGTTAAAATCCCCATAGCGATGTCGCTGAACATATTCCGCAATTCCAATGGTGTCCGCGTTATAAAAGTGATAGTCAAACCCTTATGACGGCGTGTGCTGCTAACTGATTGCCTTTCGTCAGGTCAGTAGTTCAAAATTAGAGACAGTAACAACTGAATTACAGGAGTCTTTCAACTGGTTGTTTAGCACATTAGTTGTATTTCGTCCAAATTAAGAAGCCTAATTCTTCTAAAATATGTGGGCCTCCCAGTGGCACAGCGGAATGTCTACGGACTTACAACGCTAGAAACCGGGTTTCGATACCCGAGGTGGGCAGAGCACAGATAGCCCTTGTGTAGCTTTATGCATAATTAAAAACAAACAAACAAACAAACTAAAATATGTGGACAATGAGGTCATATGTGTGGACTTAGATTACTTGTAAACAGTTTTTTTTTTACTTTATTAAATAACATCTAGTGATTAAAACAGTTTCAACAAAATGTTCCTGAAACATTAGCTCGATGGATATTAAGCTGTTCGACATATTACCACAATAATTTACTTTCGGACATCTTCTCAATAGAAAATTCTTATGCTAATAAAGGTTAAGAGAAATATATGCACTAATCTCGTGAACAAAAAAAGACAAAGCCAACTATATATATATAATGAAAAATCTTAACACTGCAGAAAGACAAAAACGGCTAGAAGCTGCTATTTATGGAGTAATTTATGGATAACTGAAATTACCAGGATTTTTTAAAATACAAAATATATATAAACCAGAGCTTTCCACAGGCAACTATAGACAAATAATAAGTGTAAAATGGGACTGTTCAGCAAATAGTTATAAAGTCAAGGCTTGGTTATAAAGTCCGAAAGTTTGTAATAATAATTTTGTACTTATGATCCGAAGGGCATCTTATGTGACACCTGGACTAAACGGTACGGTCAGAGACTCCAAGGTTGAAGCAACTTGAAAGCTAATTGAAAGGCAACTAGTGAGAAATACTTGTCATCTACATGCTACTTTTTAAAAAATAGTAGAATTGACTGCTACAGTTATAACGCTCCCACAACTGAAAATGTAGAGCGTTTGTAGTGTTACATCACAACTTGAGTCTTGGAGCTTTTGATACGCAACCCTCTCGCTGACCACTAGGCTACGCGCGGCCCTAAGTAATTAACATTAGCTTTAGTGTGATGAGAACTTTTAGTGTTTCGGATGCTCACAGAAATGATTTTAACATTAAAGTTTACTTACCATTGCGCTTGATAGTACTTGACTGTTTATAAGTTTCTTGCCCATAGAGTCGGTCACGAAGGTCACTGTTCATTGGTGGGTCTTCTCGGTTCCTAGTTACCATAGTGACAAAACAAATCGTGTATTTCCTTTGTCAAAACCTTCTCATCATCTTACTCCCAAAAATAGGTTGATAATTTGTATGAGCATGCGTTTTTTAAGCCAAATTAATTGACGAAACGTTTGTTTTCCATAAAAACCGCTAGGTCTGGCAAGAATGTTTTTACAGTTCAACAGGTGGCAGATAGATAAATTTTAGAAAAAAAAGAAAACAGTTTCAATTTGTTAAATCATTATTTTAATTAAAGAGTTCAAACTATGTATACATTACAGTTCAGTTACTTAGTTTCAGTATGAGAGATAATGGTTATATATATATTTTAAATAACAAAACTTGAACATATAAACTGTTTCCTCAAGGCATGAGAATCATTGAATAAATACAGCGCAACATTTTCAAAAGATTCGTTTAATTAAACTCAGAAAACATGGCGTAAGTTAGTAAACGAAATACAAGTTACGTTTTACTTTCAGAGAGAAGTGTCACTAAGCACACGAAATATAGTATATCTTAGAAGGGATACGTATAATTTAGCTCTTAAAAATAAGTGTCATAAACACAAGAAATAAAGCATTTTTTGGGGCTAAATTAGGAAAAATAATGTCGGGAACTGTCATACATGTAATAACTACTAATTTCACCCATCTATAACTTGAATAAAATAGATATCTAGTCAGTTATATTCTGGTAGTTTTCCAAATTTCCATGTAGATATTTTACATTTAGTTATGACACCATCGGTAATCGGATGTCTAAATGTCGTTCACACATGCTAATCATTTCACTTGGGTAAATGTTGCGTACGGTAACGGCTAGAAACTTGTGCCAATTTGGTTCTGTGTCTGTGTCCATTCCTTAAATGGGGACACATATAATTGTACAAATGAGTATAAATTGGGGAGTTTTCTTCCCTATATATCTTATTTAGTATAAATGTTCGGTGACATATGTAGCTTTGGATTATGGGACGCTGCACGTGGGCCCTATGTATGAATGGAAAGTGTAGAATATCATACTTTTGGCTGTTCTTGGTCTATGTGGACGTGTTTGGACAGCCTCTTTCCACCCTAGCAGACAGTGTAGTCATTCTGCGAATCAGAAGTCGGCCAATGTGGTAAATTCACGATTACACATGATGTGAATAAAGATTTCAAAAAATTTTCCCCTTGTGTTTGTTTTCCTTGTATGTCCATGTTCGATCTATTCTCTACATGTATAACGTTTCCGGAATCTACATTTTATAACTAATTTAAACTCATCTGTTTAATATCGTTGAACCTGAATATTACAGTGAGTGTCATTTAACTTTTAGAAACATGGATAACTAAATATACTAAATAAAACATTTTTCACTGTTGAATAATATTAAATAAATACAGCGTTTTACTTCACGTGAGTATAAATAAATAAAACATTCCACCTATAAGAAGCGAATGTAATTGAACTTCTAAGAGCAAGTGGCACTAAACGCATGAAATAACGTATTTATAGAGGTATCACCCAATAAACAAACGCACCTTTTCTACTGATGAGCATCACTGAATAATACAAATACAACATCACAAAAATAGATTTTATTTAAAAATTCTAGAGTCGACTATAATTAAACAAACAAAACACAGTGTCTACTTAGAAAGCAAGCGTCATAAAATAAACAAACCTTAAAACATTGGCTTTCAATGTTAAAAAAATCATTTTTTTATTGTAAGTTTTTGTTCATAAGGTAATTTCGCCAATACTTTTATGTAATTGTTAAATTGTTTGTTTTGAAATTAAGCACAAAGCTACACAATGGGTTATCTGTGCTCTGCCCACCACGGGTATCGAAACCCGGTTTCAAGTGTTGTAATTCCGCAGACATACCGCTGTGCCAGAGGGGGCTAACTGTGATACCAGTAAGAAAAGGGCATTGTTTTAGGAATAGTTTGCTACAAAATGTGTCGTGACTGGTCATATTTTAACGAATTATTGTCGATATATTTTGCATTTTTATTAATTTAATATTATCTGTAACAGTGTGTTTCACACAAAATTAAATTAATTTTTTCCAAAAAAGCAAGGATGAACACAGTTGCTTTTTGAACTAAAATGTTTAAATGGTGATGACAATAAATTTTGACAAAGCTTTCCAATATGGACGCTTCGTCTAACGCTTGATGAGTTGCCGGCTTCATATTCATCACGTATCAGTGACTAAGCCACGTGACCTGTCGAGTTCGTCTGCCGGTACCGTGTCTTCTAATAAAACTTTAAATCATGAAATGTGGCGCTGCGATCACTGTTGGTGTCAGTAAAATGATTAATGTGTTCGATGAACATTTTTTTAGCAGTGTTTTGGCTGTAATTCATCATTCTGTCAGGTTAAATTAACTTGAGCACTGAGAAAAATGTGCCAAGATAGCCTTAAACAACGTCTTTCTCGCAAACCAACAATGCAATCACTTTTGCAAACCTGCAGGTTATTTCTTCGCACTAACAATGCCAAGCATTAGAAGAACATTTTTAGACGGTTTCTTTTTCAATATTTCATTTTGTAAGCGTTGCAATGGAATGGTGGTTTTTTACATTATTGAGAAGGAAAATTGAAATAACTCACATCTTCATTACAATTTTGTCTCAAAAGTTTAACCCCGAATTTAAAAAAAATTCCAGTTGACTTGGGGATTAAAAGTATGCTTTAGAAGTTACCTTAAAAACAAATCTTAGCCACAAATATGATGTATTATCATTAGAATTCAGAAACTTTGTCGTCTTTTATTATTATTTCCAGAAACATTAACCAATTTTAATTGGAAAAAGAAAATAGCTTTTAATCGAGTACAAAACACAAACGATGATATGTGTCTCCTCTAGCTTGTCTATTCTTAAACTGTTGGTAATAGTCCAGAAATTTGCTTTTGTTAGCAGATTTTGCCAGAAGTTTAAGAATAAACCCAATGCTAGAGACAGTTATCTTTTGTGTTTTGTATCCAAGTAAAAGTTATTTCCTTTTTATATCTCCTCCACAGGGAAGGGTATTTTTGAGACTACCATCTCGAAATTTAAAGAGCATATAGTTTAGTTTAATACGCACAAGACAGGTATACATTTATTAAGTCAAGCCTCCGTACTAATTTTAGGTCTCAAAAGTCAAACATTACAAAACATATTTTGGCCTGCAGTTCTCTTATATTTCTATCAAAGTGAATGAGACTTGTCATTAAGATACCCTCCAATCACCCCACAGACTAAAGCTGATATGTTTCTGATTCATATCTTTTTATTTTACAGGGGTCAAAGATTGAGAAAAAAAAAGTGCAACATTAAGTTTTTGGATCTGTTATTTTCTTTTATGTTGGCTTGCCCCTGATTAAAAAAAAAAGGTCCACTTTTCGAAAGCGCTCGATTTACAGGATTTTGCACAAAGATACCTTACGACAACTTTCACAGACTGAAGCAGACAGATGTAAATTTTTGTCTTTCTTTTGATTTCACGGTGGACAAATATAAAAACAAATTCGCGATGTATGTATTTGTTTGGTTGTTTTGTTTAATTTAGATGCCCCCCCAGTGGCACAGCGGTATGTCTACGGACTTAGAACGCTAGATCCGGGTTTTGATACCCGTGATGGGCAGAGCACAGATAGCCCATTGTGTAGCTTTGTGCTTAATTATAAACACATTAATTTAGATATGTGTATGTGGAGAGGTGGGGCGAGAGAATCCTTAGAAAACCCCACTTTAACAGATTAGACACCAAAAAATCTACCCGACCAGTACTCAAGATATTACATGAAAGGAAATGGCTAGAAAGAAATATTATGAAGGATGGATACAGTGGTAAAAACAGTTAGATAGTTTACATATTATTACTCCAGGTGGTTAGATACTACCCACTGTTGTTTCTGTCGAGTGCCTTGAAACTGACTTTTTATGACGAGTGTCTTGAAAGTGATTGTTTTGAACTCTGACATATTATTACTCCAGGTGGTTAGATACTACCCACTATTGTTTCTGTCGAGTGCCTTGAAACTGACTTTTTATGACGAGTGTCTTGAAAGTGATTGTTTTGAACTCTGACTACATTGAAACTACCTATTTCTTTTACGGCGAATGCCTCGAAACTAAATGACTCTTTTTTTTGACGAATGCCTCGAAACCAACTGACTCTTTTTACGGCGAATGCCTTGAAACTAAATGACTTTTTTGACGAATGCCTTGAAACAACCTGACTAATTTTTAGAACGAATATTATGAAATTAATTGGCATTTTAATGTCAAATGCCATGAAACTGATTCTTTATACGACGGGTACCTTGAACTTATTTTACGCCGAGTGTCCTGAAAGTATCTGACTCTTTTACGGTGAGTACCTTGAAACTAACTCACTCTTTTTTATAACAAGTACCTTCAAATAATTGAATATTTTATGGATAGTACCTTGAAAGCTACTGACTCTATTACGGCGAGTGCCTTGAGATTTTTACCGCATATTGCTTCAGTCAAGTTCAGTATACATTTAAATAGTGAATGAGAATTTCGCTCAGAAGTCAAAGTTACCATCAAAAGGGCTTCATAATTTTCTTCCAGCTACTGGGTAGAAAATTACTTGTAATGTTACACAGATTTGTCTTTTTCTTTGTTTCAAACGGATCAACATGACATTCGCAATCCTGATCTTCAACTCATTTCTCGCAATCAAACGGATCAACATGACATTCGCAATCCTGATCTTCAACTCATTTCTCGCAATCAAACGGATCAACATGACATTC